AAAACACATTCTCTTTCTTATTTTCGAAAACGTATTTTTGAAAACAAGTTAAAAATTTATAAAGAAAATCCAAAACGATAAATTTGTCGTTTTGTGTGTTTTCAGTTATAGTCAAATCAAAATTTTCAAAACGCATTTTGAGTGTATTCAAAATAATTTTTTAAAATGCAAAAAAAAAAACATATTTTCAACAATCTTAAAATGGACACTAAAAACACAAAACCCAAAATGAATTCAAAATTGAAAATATAAAACTGAAAAACAAAGAGAATAGCCCCTTATTGATTCAAAAATGGGCTGCAATAGATCGTGGCACTTTATCTCGATCATAGAGGTTCGGCCTCTACATGTTGCTTCGAGTGAGGTGAAGTCATTGCTTTGACTTCCTTTATTTGTTTGCCTCGATTAGGCTAAGTAACTAGACGATGTGAAGTGTGGGTTAGGTGACTTCTTATTATTTTCTTATTTGGCTGCAATCTAATCAATAAAAAAAAAATTCATAAGATGAGTAGCAAGATTATTTTTAAGAATTACAATCGAATAATTACACTTCATTTTTATTATTGTTGTTAGAATTTGGGCGTGGCCCGAATTTTTTGTTGAAAATAATTGAGAGTTCTAATTAAAGTGCACATTAATTCGAATCCTATTTGGAATGCAATTGTGAAATCTTATTCAAGTTTTCTTGACAAATTTTAATTGAAGTTCACTTGAAAATTCATTGGGAGTAAGAATTTGTGTTGGACTTGAAAAAACTTTGAAAAGCAGAAAAATATTATTGGATGGAGTTTGGGTCGGAGACGAAGCACCTAGGTGCCACAGCTGTAAATATTAACAGCAAGGCGTCGGTCCCCGGCTCTGGTAGTGGCACCCCGACGCCACCTATTATGCTCTCTTCGTTGTTTTGGTTTCCTTTTCATTTTGGATTCCCTTTTTTACATTCTACTTCATCTACAACTCATCTATTAGTGTTTGGACGTCCGCTACTTGTTCACTATAAATATTAAACTCTTCTATACAATTTTATAGTGTGAAAAAAGTGATTACTAGCTTTTATGATCATTGTAATATTTCTCCATCTTCATTATTTGTGATGCAATAAAATCTCTTAATTCATCTGTTATATTTTCCTATCCTCTTTTATTTTTTTACTTGTAATCAAATACTTCATTATTGTGCCATATAACTTCAACATCTCAATTCGGTAGTTGATTTCATATCAAGTGATATCGACCAAAACGTAATCCTTGAATTCCCAACAATTGGTATCAGAAATTCTAGGTATAATTAACACAACACTAATTTTTTTTAATACGTTACTAGAAAATATGTAAATTCCTAAAAATATTTCAATGTACTCTTATACTTTGACCAACCAAAATCCAGCAGTATATGGTAAATAGCTCATAATATGTTTTTCAAGCACTCTATTTAAACATAAATTAATATTCCAGGCAAACCAGCAATTTAAATAGAACTCACAATTCCATATAGGTGAATCTCTTCAGACTAAGCGATTCGCAATGTGCTTCACATACAAGAAAACTGTAAAGTGTAGTACTTCCAATTGAAAGCTATACCAAAATCAATCGTCCTTTGAAAGAGCAACATAGTTTATGGGGATTGCCTTACTACTTTCTCTTCGTTCCCTTCCACCTGATATTCCATGACGTCGACTATTTGGTGTGGCTACCATTGTGTTACTCACGCCCAAAGGTTTTTTCATACTTGGCTTCGAACCAAACAGAGTCTCTTGTTCTGCAGCTAACTGATCCTGTAGCTTCTTTTGTTCCTGTAGTGTGTAGCACAGTTAACTAGTTAATCATAGCAAACCAAAAATATTATGTGCACTAACTTCACAAATTCATCATTAATGTTTGTCTCATAGCAATAAATTTCAATATAAAAGCATACTCGATATCTGCGTTTCTCCTCTTCTTTTTCTTGTTGTAAAATAGTGAATTCTTCCAATGTCCGTAATAAAGGAGCCTGGAGTTTTAGAATAACTAAGATATTAGAATTGAAGAAGCAATATAGGTAGTTTTTATTATTGCATACAAGTTGGATTTACCTTGTCGTATAAAAATGGTATTCCTTTCTCCACCTCCCAGGCTTTCACTTTTGCAGTCAAATTTTCAACAAGAGCTGTAATTGTAATTTTGAAATCATTCAACTTTAGCTTCAAATCCTTTATATTAATGAATATAAACTGCCTATACAGAGAGAATGATAAACTAGAAATGATTGCTAACAAGCTTGCATGTTTAATAATTACAAGTAAATCACAATGCTGATAAAATAAAAAATTAAGATAACAGTAAAAAAAAAAAATTTATAGTTATGGCTTTATATTAGTAGACTAATTTCATAAAGAAAAAAAAAATCAAATTAAAGATAATTCAAGTACTTTACGCATTTCTGCCTCTGTTTTTTCTCGGAACACTTATATAACATGACTTAAGCAAAGCTATAATTATCAAGCTGTATGCTTGGTGCTACAAAGGCTTTAATGTTATCTTCTTAGTTCATCTAAGATGTTATGGGAGTAAAATCACCAGCTTTAGAATTATAATGTATATTACTATATCCTTTAGTTAAGGAATGGTTGGTCACCAAGCTCACTAGTGAGTACCCCATCTCTTTTAACTAAATAAAGCACAAAGGGAGTCCTGAATAGCATCGATGTCAAGCCTACTCGGAGAAGATGCAGATTCTCAAAGTAGACAATTGACAGCTTGGACAAATATATGTAACAAACTGAAATGTGATTTACGTAACATAGCAAAATTTTATTATGACAAGGAAACATAGCAAAATTTGTCACTCCTAAAGTAAGCAGTTTTCTAAAGAGATTCACTGTTGGTACTTGACTATATCATGCATAAACTAGAGAAACATAAATTGACATGCTTAGTAATGCAGTAATCTTTTCTCTTTGTATTACTCTAGTGCTGAAAATGTATAGAAGGACAGAATTCGAGCTCACATGGTATTTTGCTGACCAAAGTCCTTGCTTTCTCTGCACGTTTCAAATTTTTGTGAGCTCCTCTTCCAGCATTATAACGATTATCATCCTTACAGAAAGAGAAGAAAATAAATATTTGCATACCCAAATAACAGTGTCTCTAAAAGTAAATCTAAAACTACCAAATTTATTACGGGGTCTACTTCTATTAAATAACTATGTCATCTAAACAAAAAGTCTTAGGGTTAAATAACTATTTATTCTAAAAAAAAAGTTTTAGGGAGGAGAGACATCTATGTACTTCGAAACAGCCACCTCACATGCATTGAATTCTGTTTTGAGGACAAGAAGGTTTGACTCCTAGTATTGGGGGATCACCAGACTGTTGGCAAATCTTTTTAATTAAATACCTGTTCTTAGTTAGGCGATTTGGCAGACCCATGTCTGTTTTTAAAACTATGGACAGCCCTCTCACATCTCTCATTATTCACTATTGTTCAGATATACTGTGTTAGTATTCACAAGTAAACTCATCGAAATTTTACCCTATAGTTGGTACATTACAGAGGTCAGTGTAAGCACAAGAAAGATACTTCTGTAGATAATCCATGCCCAATTGCAAATAATTGAGCTTTTCTTTGCTTCTATTGTTTTTCTCATTTTGCGTACTACATCTAATATGACGTAGAACTTCATCCAAAGCCAATAATCTGCACGAATGAATTTTTCACCAATCTAAATGCAATCAAAATAGGGTCAAAGAGAAGTTTCTGCACCACCATGGGAAATCATAAATAATTGCTTCAATGCAGCTTTTCTCTAAGTTAACTTTTATGCTCATCAGACCTTTATGAAATTTCATAAATTCAATTTCCTGGTCAAGATGTCAATTCTGACTGACAAAGTTCGCTGGTTTCTCAGCATATTTTGAACTACTTTTGACTGTTCCTGCTCGACCGGGTCCATTTTACATGGACTAATAGTCAAAAGGCTTGTGTGGATGAGAAGTTCAGAAACCAGCTTACAATTAACATATCTCAAGTATCCAAATGTTGTACAATTATTCACATTGAAGGCCCTCAGTGATGTATGTCAATTATGTGTAATCATTTATGATATGCGTATGCGTTTATGGATGGATAGTTCATACTTGAGGGTCAAGGGTTGGACTAGAGAGGTTTTAATATGGAAAAGGAAGAGATGTCTGGAGATTTAAGGAAGTAAAACGATGAAATTCAAAGGCTGATTTGTTCTCAATTGACAGAACCTGTATAGTCACTTTTGAGACATCAATGTTGTCTTGAAGTTGATGATCTCAAGAAGTAATGAGCTTCTTCTTAAGTGTCAAATTATGATAACAAGAAAGAATTAGTATGCTGAAATTGGAAAACAAATAAGAAGAGTAAAAGCCAAACAAAAAGTAGAAGGTTTTGGAGTAGAGAGAGAGAGAGAGAGCAAGAAACCAGACCAGGAAAAAAACATTATAACAGATCGATTGCTAATAATGGTCCCCAGAAAATATGGATTTCACGAGTATATATAGACCTAAAAAGACTTTTTATCAAGGATAAATAGGACTCTGAATTAATCTTGAAATATAGAATCTTTGACCACAGAAGATTATTCAAGACCAACTAGGATCCTTGCTACCAAGGGAACAGCTCAAGTAAAACTACAATAAAATCCATGCAATGTGGATGTTATCTATGTCTAATAATTATTACAACACCCAATTTTTGTTTTTAGGAACTTCTAACCAAAGTAAAATAATTCCAACAGCTTTCAAACACAAAACAGGACTCATGCCATTCTAAAAGTGCTAAAACTTGTTTCTTAATCCAACTAGTCGCAAAATTCTAGATCTGCTATTCTTCTTGTGCATACCAACTTGTCGCAAAATTCTAGATCTGCTATTCTTCTTGTGCATACCAACTTGTCGCAAAATTCTAGATCTGTTATTCTTCTTGTGCATATGTTCTGCATCATTAGGTACTCATACTTTTCCAAGGCACCAAATTAACGGTTAAATAGAAATGAACTGCATGATAATAGAATTATAAATTCCTAGTTTTTTTTCCCAAAAAGTCAATCGAGTGTTTCATATTTAACTTTTCAGTTTATTTAGTAGAGATAACTAGTGGTAAATTGGGTGATTGGGAACCAAAATCAGACCCCGTTTGATCCCATTTTTGGGGGTAAATATATTTTGGGATAGTGACTTTTCTGGAGAATGTGTCATTAAAAATAAAGAAAAGTTATGGGTTTACGTGTAAAATTATTTTATGGGAGAATGTACAGTTAAAAGTGTGTTTTTGGAAAATGGAGGCCAAACATAGGCTAAGTAGTGCTGTAGTGGAAATAAATCCTTCTAATTCGTGGTAGTAGCTTTAGTACATACAATAGGCTCGAACTTGAATAGATTTGGATGCAAACTAAAATTCTATATCTGTTCACAGGGAAAGCATTTAATGTGCCAAGATTGTTTAGGCATGGACAAGAGATTATTAAGTTGTCCATTTGGCCAGTGAAGCATAGCGATAGCTGCCAAAATGATTAGCCATCAGTGCTACATTCATCACTATAATTCCTTAGGCTGCCTTAACCTAAATAGAGAGAAGCTGTTGACTTAAATATCCAAGTTCAAGCTCCGAGAACACCCAAACATTAAATTAAACATATTCCCCCAACTGCAAGGAATTCGGGTGCAGAACTCTGGTTGATGTTATAGAATACAGATCAAAGTAAGATCTTGAATTTCCAACAAGCAGAAGTTTGACCTCCACAATGACAGATCATATGTGCAGGTTGCCAATACAATATTTAGGCAAAAGTTTATAGGGAACAATCTATACCGGCGAGTCTCTTCTATTCTTCCAGGCTTGTTAGACCACTGGAGTTTCTCGTTTACTCCTTTACTTGTCACTTCTGAACTTCTTCCTTGCCAAAGCTTCACCTCTATTCTTCCTTCTATTCATTTCTCACCCTCATCTCCCCACTTTGTCTCAATTCTGTCCTATCTGGGCTGAGGTCACACTACTCAAGCCCACTAATTATTCAATTAACTTCTAAGCACAACAAAGCTGATGTTCAGAACTCACATCTTTTAGAGTTCTAAAGGTTACAGATTAATTGAAAATGTCAATCGCTATGTAATTTATAAATGTTCAACTCGTGGTGTAATGATTCCAACTACTATCAACTATCACTCACCTCATATCACTTCATTCGTAGTGCTATTGTTAACTTATTACTTGACAAATCAAATGGGATTTGCCTGAAGAACTTGAACCCTGCGTTATACATTTTTCTCATGTCATAAAACTTGACATACAGGTGGAAACAAATAAATGAGCAACATAATAAAGTGTAGACTCATTAAATCTTCAAACTCTGTACCATGAGCATCACAATGGGAATGTGGCAATTAAAGTAAAAAGCCACAGAAGCACATCGGACATTACAATATACAACTTCCCTTTAGACATTTAACTTTTATAAACTGTTACTTGACAAATCAAATGGGATTTGCCTGAAGAACTTGAACTCTGGGTCATGCATTTTTCTCACGTCATAAAACTTGACATGACACAAATCAATGGGCAACATAATAAAGTGTTGACTCATTAAATCTTCAAGCTCTGTACCATGAGCATTACAATGGGAATGTGGCAATTAAAGTAAAACGCCACAGAAGCGCATCGGACATTACAATATACAACTTCCCTTTTGATATTTAACTTTTATAAACTGTTAATTTCTTCGAAGTGTAAGCCTTCAATTCATCCAACATAAATATATCACTAAATAAACTAGAATGACCAAAATTTAATACATGTCAAAGGATGATGAATCATTTATTGTGTCGAGATATTCGGAGTTTGTTAGCTATGAGTTATTTAAACTTAAATTCAGTAAAATAGAATATATTATAAGAGATTAATTCAATAAAACATAATCTGTTATAACAGATTCAGCACTTTAAATTAGGAGTTTTGTTAGGACCAGATTTCTTTCTCTCTTGCAATTCTTAGGCGATTTATTATGTACTTTCAGCAGTCAATTATGAGAAAAATATAAGTGTTATTTTTCTTTCTTTTCAAAAACTTATGCATTTTTCTCACGTCATAAAACTAGACATGACACAAATCAATGAGCAACAAAATAAAGTGTTGACTCATTAAATCTTCAAGCTCTGTACCATGAGCATTACAATGGGAATGTGGCAATTAAAGTAAAACGCCACAGAAGCGCATCGGACATTACAATATACAACTTCCCTTTTGATATTTAACTTTTATAAACTGTTAATTTCTTCGAAGTGTAAGCCTTCAATTCATCCAACATAAATATATCACTAAATAAACTAGAATGACCAAAATTTAATACATGTCAAAGGATGATGAATCATTTATTGTGTCGAGATATTCGGAGTTTGTTAGCTATGAGTTATTTAAACTTAAATTCAGTAAAATAGAATATATTATAAGAGATTAATTCAATAAAACATAATCTGTTATAACAGATTCAGCACTTTAAATTAGGAGTTTTGTTAGGACCAGATTTCTTTCTCTCTTGCAATTCTTAGGCGATTTATTATGTACTTTCAGCAGTCAATTATGAGAAAAATATAAGTGTTATTTTTCTTTCTTTTCAAAAACTTTCATATTATCAGAGCTTTGGTTGTCACCCGAAATTTCAATGGTCAAAACAGCCATTATCGAGGCAATTGGAAGCTCAGCATCCTCAGGGGAAGCTGCCGAAAGTGCCCCTACCTCATCCTCAAATATCAGAGCTTATTTTTCAACTCTGATAGTCACTTATTCCTTGCAGTAAATGGCTCACAAATTCAATTGTAAAAATTACCTAAAGTGGGCACAAACAGTGAAGATTGTGATAGAGGGAAAAGGAAAACTTGGTCACTTGACTGGTTCAGTAAAGAAACGTGTAGATAATGATCCCAACCTTAAAGCATGAAAATCCGAAAACTCCATGGTTAGAGCTTGGCTGGTCAACTCCAGGGAGCCTGCGATAGGACAACCTTTCCTATATATTCAAACTGTCAAGGTGTTGTAGGAAGCAGATCGTGACATATATTCTGATTTGGAAATTCATTTCTGGTTCTTGAACTGAAGACTTGGTTATGGCACTTAAAGCAGGGAGATCAAGAGTTAACTGCATACTATAATGAAAAAGTAACATTGGCAGGAATTTGATAATGCTATTATGAAGAATACGAGAGAGTGGCAGTTACGATATCAAAAAAAGAGAGGAGGATCAACAAGTATATATTTTCTTGCAGGCTTTAACTAAGAGCTAGATGAAGTGCGAGGGTGAATTATAAGTCAAAAGTCTGTCCAAAGATATGTGAAGTTTTCTCGGAAGTGAGGAGGAGAAACGAAGAAACTTCATCATGATCAAGTCAGTGATTGTAGCTGAAATTGAAAATTCAGCACCGATTTCCAGAGGATTTTAATTTGATGGAGAAAGGAGGAATTGAAGCGAGCCGAGAAGCCCTGGTAAGACCATTGCAAGAAGCCATGGCATACACGGGAAACATGTTGGAAATTGCACGGAAAGCTGCCACACTGGAACAAGAAAGGAATAGCTGCACATTCCAAGTCTTAAACTATAATCAAAGTCAACAATCTTCTTCAGAAAAGGTTCCATTCATAAAGGAACAATTAGACATCCTGTGCAAACTTCTTCAATCCTCTAATCTGTCCGTAAATTCCTCTCCCTCATGTTCCTTTGCTAAAAAGGTAATTATCTCTCTGCTGCCCTAGTAAGTGTTTGTCACAATTTCAATCACCCATGTATTATCAATTCAGGTGTAACTAACCATATGACAAGATCTTCAGAATTGTTTGTTTCTATAATTCGTGTGCAGGGAATCAAAAAATTGAAAATAGCTAATGGATCTCTTTCAGCTATAGCTGAGAAATGCTCTATCGTTATTTCACTACTTATCACTCTTCATGTCATGTCGTGTAATCTCTAGTCCATTAGTAAATTAACTCGTGATCTGAAATGTAAAGCTCATTTTTTTCAATCTCATTGTGAATTTCAGGAATTGAACTAGGGAAAGACAATTGGCAGTGCTAAACAAAAGAGAGGACTCTATTTCACTGAAAATTGGTCTGTTTTGAAAAGACAAACTCAAGGCACTTGTTTCAATTCTATTTTGTTATTAGTGAAAATAAAATTATGTTATGGCATTTTAGGTTGGACATCCTAGTTTTCAGTATCTAAAGTATTTGTTTCCATGTTTATTTATCAATAAAAATACATCGTCATTTCAATGTGAAATTTGAGAATTAGCAAAACATAATTGTACCTCTTTTCCTTCACAACCATATAAACCCAATGAAACTTTCTCTATGATTCATTGCGATGTTTAAAAGATGGTTTATCACATTTATTGATAATCACGCAAGGATAACATGGGTGTATTTGTTGAGGGAAAAATCTGATGCAGAACAAGCTCTCTAGGATTTTCATAATAGTGAAAACTCGGTTTCAGGCAAGAATTAAAATTTTTCTAAGTGATAATGGAGAAGAGTACTTTAACATAATTCTAGGAAAGTGTTTTGTAGAAAATGGCATTCAAAGCTCATGAATAGATACTCCTCAAAAATATGGTGTGACAGAGCGAAAGAATAGACACTTTCTTGGAATTGCTAAAGCTCTACTTTTTACAACAAAGGAACCAAAATACTTATAGAGTGAAGCTATTCTGACAACAACTTTTGTTATTAGTCAAATGCTGTCAAGAGTTTTACATTATCAAACTCCAATAATGTTTTCAATTCAAGCTTTCCTACATCCCGACTAATAAGCAATATTCTAGTAAAAATGTGTTTTCATTGACTACGACAAACTCAAAAGGGATAGAAGCATTTTGATCCAACTTCACGAAAATATTTTGTTACAATGGATGTGACATTTTTCGAAATAAAATTTTTTCAGAAGGTGAACATCTTCAAGGCGAGAATGAAAGTTAAGACGAAGATTTTGGGAATATTTTTCAAATTGAGCACACTACTCTAGATTCCATTTCTACTCTAAGAAGTACTAGCATTAGCTGAACTAGTATAGAAATAGTACCTCTACCAATTCAAACCAATGCGCAAATCGAGTCCACACTATGTCAAGTTGCGGATTCAAACGATTTAGATAACAAAAACAATAGAAATCCCTCTTCTATGTCATTACAAGATCATTTAGTAACAAGACTGTTTGCAAAACAAATTAAGAAGAAAATTAAGCTTCGTATCTGCATGTGAAAGACAAATCCTCAGAGTAAGGAAGATAAAAATTTACAGCAATGCTTCAAGTCCAAAGTTTTCAGATTAGAATTTCTATCGCCTATAGGAAAGGAGTTCGGCCATGTAATAAACATCCCATGTCTAGATTTGTGTCTTATGACAGATTATCCCCTCATTTCCTTGCTTTCACATCACAACTTTTCAGTATAGAAATTCCTAGAAGTGTGCAAGATGCTTTGAATGGAAGGAAGCAATTCTTGAGAAGATGAATGGACTTGAAAAAATAAGACTTCAGATGTGGTTGATCTGCTAATAGGAAAGAAGATCGTAGGCTATAAATGGGTGTTTACAGTTAAATATAATGTAGATGCAATCTTAGATCAGGGTATATAAGCAAGATTTGTAGCGAAAGTGTTCACTCAAACCTATGGCATAGATTACTCAAAGACATTTGCACCAATAGCTACGCTCAATACAGTAAGGGTGCTTCTCTCAATTATTGTGAACTTAGACCAGCAAATACAACTGGACATAAAAAATGCACTCTTGAATAGTGATCTTGAAGAGAAAGTCTACGTGGAGTCTCCAACAGAATTTGATAAGAGATTTGGCTTAAATGTCTCCAAGCTGAAAAAGGAATTATACGGTCTCAAATAATCACCTAGAGCATGGTTTGAGAAATTTACTGAATCTATTAAAAACCAAAGACATACCCAATGACAGACAGATCACACACAATTTATGAAGTTCTTAGAAGGAAGAGTTGTCTTAATTGTGTCTGTAGATGATATCATCCTCACCGCGTGACAGAATAGATAGGCTTAAGAAATGCTCAGCCTTTGAATTTGAGATTGAAGATCTAAGATCACTCGAATACTTTCTTGGTATGGATGTTGCTCGATCAAAATAGGGAATTGTAGTTTATCAAGGAGTATGCACTTGATCTTTCAAAAGAGACCGGCATGAGTGGTTGTAGACCTTTTGAGACACCAATAGAGCCGAGTTTGAAACAATGAAATACCAAAAGTTGGTTGACAAGTAAATTTATGTGTCACGTACTTGACCAGCATGGCTTTCGCATCAAGTATAGTAAGTCAATTTATGCATTCGCCATATTAAAAGCATCTTGACACTGTCCACAAGATCTCAAGATACTTAAAGAGTACTCCATAAAAGGACTATTCTTTAAGAAATGTGAGTGGCGAAGTGTTGAAGTTTATAGAGATGCTGATTGGGTTGGAACAATAATTGATAGGCAATCCACCTCTGGGTAATGCACCTTTTTTTGGGGTAATCTTGTTACTTCAAGGAGGAAAAAGCATAATGTAGTGGCCAGAAGCAATGGAGAAGCTGAATTCTAAGTAATGTTACATGGAATTTACAAGATGCTACCAGTTAAAACATGTGATGGAGGAGTTGAAAAGTCTATTGAACGACTTATAAAACTTTAGTGCAACATGACGTGATGAAATAGGTGGAAATAGACTGATACTTTATAAGAAGAAACTCGAGATAGGAATCATATGCTTGCCATTTGTCCCAACTATACAATAAATAGCTGACATTCTAACACAAGGACTTCATAGAACGAGGTTTGAATTTCTAATAAGTAAGGTGGGCATGATCGATATAACGCTCCATCTTGAGGGGGAGTGTCAAGAAATTAGGAGTTGTTAACGATGAGTTATTTAAATTTAAATTCAATAAAACGGAATCTATTATAACAAATTCAGTGATTTAATTTAGGAGTTTTGTTAGGATTAGAATTCTTTTTTTCTTGGAACTCTTAGGCTATTTATTGCGTACTTTCAGTGGTCAATTATAAGAAAATAATAAAAGCTATTTTTCTTTCTTTTCAAAAAATTTCATATTGGGTAGCATATTGCCCTACTAATGAAACTTGTGCAAAATATGTCAATCATAGGGTAGAATGAAGCAGTGAGCCAAGTCATGGAAGTGACACATGTTTCGAAAATATTAAGTAAATAGGTTGGTCAAAAATCATGATTAAAATAGATACGCCAACAACAATAAAAATAGTAGCATTGAACAACTAACTGTAACACGGATAATATAAAAAATTGGACTAGTTCGCAGCTTTGAAGAAAGTGGATTTAAATTAGGAGTTCCAAAGACTTCGTAGCAAATGAATACTTTCATAGGCAATAGATAATCATGTAGCCCAGCAAAGACCAAATAATGCAATGCAAGTATAGTGTTACCCTTTCATATTCATCAAGCCAGATTTCCTCTTCAGACACATGTTTCCATTTTGCCACCTTATCCAAAATATCCTTTCTGCTTTGAGCCTGTGCTCTGGCTTTTGCAATCTGTTCCTCCATGCTTGATAAAATATCAGAAAGATCGATGCTGCCTGCAATTGCATTTACAAGCAAAATTATTACAAGAAATACAGGATAAAATCTTACCCTTCCCAGTAAATATGATTTCATTTTAATTAGAATTACCCTTCTATTATTCAAAAATAGTAAATGTGTATGTTTCTATACAAAGAGGGAAAAAATCATCAGTTTTTCTATTGTTCTATATTCTTTTGAGTTTATACACTTACGAAATTGGTGTATAACAAAAGAAAGGAAATATAAACATATACTCCCAACTTTTTGAATGTTGGTACTAATTCATGTATGTTTAATTTTACTCCTAAAATACATGAAGTCCTCATTCATCATTTCTATGCTATTGGAATGTATATCTAGACATTCCAGCAACTCCATTGCTTTCAATAACGTGTTGGAGAACTTGTATTCATGCATCTAATGATGTAGTAATCTGACTTCCCCATCTGTCAAAGCAGAAGGTTGTAAATGACACAAAAGGATAAAGGGAACATCTTACGCAAGCTTATAAACAATAACAACATAGGAAAGAAATCTAGTGAACAAATCCATATATTAGGAGACAGGTAAACAAGAAACGAAGAAGAATAAGCACTGAGAGAGAGAGAAAGAGAACAGGGGATCGACAGTAAAAGTTCACACAGATCACCAAATATCAAGTTCCCTAATCCTGTTTACACATAAGTAAGATAAAAATTCAGTTGTTTGGCAGATAAATTTTGGAAATTTAATGCCCATAATTTTTTTTTTTTTTATAGGTAATCAACAATTTTATTAATTAAAGAAGAATACACAGAAAGTGTATAATCAGCTTAAACAAGAAAGAAAACACATAAAGTTAGGCAACCCCTCTATAGAATTACTAGTCGTGGCATTAAACCAACTATACAAAGTCAGATAAAAGAATTCTCTAATTTGCTCTGTGATCCGTGTTTGGTCTTCAAAACATCAGTTGTTCCTCTCCCGAGAGAGGAACAACCGAAGCTTTCCATACAAGATGCCACATATAAAATTCCATACAAGCTTGCTATCCTTATCCCGAAGCTTTCTCCTCCATACCCGCAACACATCCTCTATACATCTAGGAACACCCAATCTATATGTTGAGAGGCAAAAATGTTATTCCACAGCCAACGAACACCATCACAGTGAATGAACAAGTGATCATGCGTCTCCCCATCACTCATACACATATAGCACCACTCGGTTACATAAAAGCCTTTTATTAGGAGATTATCCATCGTTAATGCATGTCCCCTCACGACCGTCCACAGTACAAATGCCACCCATGGAGGCAATTTACATTGCCACACCATGTTCCAGGGGAATGAACTCTCCACATGTCCCAAAAGAGATATAAAATAAGAGCGAACTGAAAAAATACCATTCCGTGTCAACCTCCATCGGCTACTATCATCCTTTCCTCCCCGCATTTTCACCTCATACAAATAGGTTAAGAACATTGTATAATTATCCAATTCTCAATCCTGCAAACCCCTCTGAAAAGTAATATTCTAACTGTAACTCCCATTATGGATGGCTAAAACGTCATTCACCATAGCAGAAGACACCATAGTAATGCGATGCAAAGAAGGGAACCTCACCTTTAGTTGTATATCTCCACACCAACAGTCATCCCAAAATCTGATATTATTACCATTACCCACCACAAAAGTCAATCTGTCCCGAAGGTCGCTCCAGCCTCATCAAATATACCCTAACAAACTCACCCCGTAAGACCCACGACCCTCACCCGAACACCAGCCCCCCTCCATCACTCCATACTTCGCCCCAATGATTTCTCTCCATAAACTCTCCCTCGCCACTCCAAACTGCCACAACCATTTGCCCAATAATGCCTTATTAAACAAAATAAGTCTTCTCAATCCGAGGCCTCCCAACCTCATAGGAGCAAACAACTCCCCAATTAACCAAATGAAGTTTCCTCTCCCCTCCCAACCCTGTCCAAAGAAATTCCCTTTATATCATCTCTAATCTCTTTGCCACTGCAACAGGAATATGAAACAATGACAAGAAATAAGTAGGGATATTTGATAGAGTATATTTAATGAGAGTAAGGCAGCTTCCCTTCGAGAGATACATACGCTTCCACCCCGCTAACCTCCGTTCCACTTTTTCCACAATAGCATTCCAAATATTATTGCTTTTAGACCGCGTCCCTAAAGGGAGTCCTAGATATGACAGAGGTAACTGTGCAACCCTACAACCCATAATAACAGCTAGTTCCTCCACATTAGTGACCTCCCATACTGGAATAACCTCAGATTTCCCCATATTAATCAACAATCCAGACACCGCTTCGAAACATAGGAGCAAACAGCATAAGTTCCTAAATTGTTCCACATTTGTGTCACATAAAATCAGTGAGTCGTCTGCAAATAGCAAACGGGACACCTGCAATTGACCAACCGTAAAACCTTTTATTAAATTCTCCCGCCTCGCTTTCTCGAGCATCCTACTAAGGGCCTCCATTACAATAACAAACAGCAATGAAGACAATGGATCCCCTTGTCTCAACCCTCTGCTACTCCGAAAATAACCCTCAGGGGTACCATTGACCAGAACTGAGAATGAAACAGTAGAGATACAAAACTTGATCCACCTACACCACTTATCCCCAAATCCACATCGCCTAAGCATATACAGGAGGAACCTCCAGTTCACGTGGTCATAAGCCTTCTGAATATCAAGCTTGCATAACATTCCGGGAACCCCTAGGCACAATCTTGAGTCAATGTATTCATTTGCAATTAGTACAGAATCCAAAATCTGACGACCTTTCACAAAAGTATTCTGAAACTTAGACACCACTTCCCGTAGCACCTCCTTAAGGGAGAAAATCCTTAATGTCAGTCGCTCCTGGTTTCTTAGGGATCAGCACAATAAATGTTGCAGTAGAACTTCTCAGAAACCTGTCACGCTCAAAAAAATATGTGAAAACATCAATAATATCTTGTCGGACCACCTCTCAACACGCCTTATAAAATGAGAACGAAAACCCGTCTGGTCCTGGAGCTTTATCATCATTCATACTAAACACCACCTTCTTAATTTCCTCCTCCCCAAATGGTCTCTCCAACCAACCGGCATCCTCCTCTGGAATAGTGGAAAACTCCAATCCCCCCAACTTTGGCCTCCATTCAAATTGCTCCCGATATAGATTCTGATAGAATCTCACCATATGGGCCCCAATATCCTGTAGATCCTCATAAGTAACCCCATCAACCTCCAAAATTGTAACAGAATTGTTGCGTTTGTTAGAATTTGCGACCCTATGGAAAAACTTAATACATTTGTCTCCCTCTTTCAACCACGTGATCCTAGATTTCTGTCGCCATGCAATCTCCTCCATCTCCACCAAACTCACTAGCTCTTCCCTAAATACACCACGTCTCTCCTTTTCCTCCCCATTTGACCCTCGACTCTCCTCAAGCTTATCCAACTCTTCTATGTCTAAAAGACACTAGACCTTACGAAAGTTCACATTACCCACCACCTCATTCCACCTTTTTAAATCCCTTTTTAATGCCCTCAATTTCTGATCCAACACATAATTGGGAAACCCCGAAAAATCATAAGAAGCCCACCAGTCCGTACACGCTCTCCAAAGCCTTCCACTTTTAACCAAATCTTCTCAAACCTAAGGCATTAGTCTATGACCCCTAGGATTCCCAGCTAACAAGATAGGGAAATGATCAAAGTACACCTTCCCCAATCTCCTCTGAATAACATTTGAGTACTTAGTCTCCCACTCTCCGCTAACCAAGAACCGATCTATACGAGATAGGGCAGGTTGATCCCGATTAGATGACCAAGTAAAGTCTCTCCCAATCATAGAAAAATCCACCAACATATTCTGCCTAATAAAATCCGAAAATTCCTCCATAGCCCCAGTTAGTCTCCCACCATTTGACCTTTCAGTAGGAAATCGAACCACGTTAAAATCACCCCCAATGCACGTTGGTGCCCCAGTTAGTCTCCCACCACTCGACCTTTCAGTAGGAAATCGAACCACGTGGAAATCACCCACAATGCACGTTGGGAGATTCCACCAAGCCATCATACCAGTTAACTCATCCTACAAGCCCCCTCTACTCTCATTGGAATTAGGTCCGTAGACTCCGATAAACATCCATGGAATCCATCCCCAATATTTCTAAACAAGAGCGATAGTGAGTATGTTCCTACACTAACATCCTCCATATCATACACTCTAGTGTCCCCATGATTAGCATGCCTCCTGAAAACCCCGATGACCCCAAAAACTGATGCCCAAAATTGAAGTTTATACATTATAAATACTTCATTAGGCTTTTATTTTAGCCTCTGCTTCTGTGGTACTCACTATTTAAGGGTGGATTTTGATATAGTTGTCCCCCCCATAAACTGCTGACCACAGCCCTCGAGACAAACTCCAATTTAGTTTCTCGCAAGCAAACTAGGTCCGCCCTCCATCCCCTTAACAAATTTCGAATCCCTAACCTTTTCCCAACCTTATTAAGCCCCCTCACATTCCAGCTAAGAAGTTTTAGGGTCATTTTAACACTCCATCATCCCTCCCCATCAATCCTTCCCTTGACTCACCGCCCTTAGCATCATAGTTTACTGACCACTCGAGCCACTTAAGGTCGCAAACACCCTTCCTTCTTGCCTTGCCTCCTTGTGTACTCATCTCCTGTCCCCTACTAGCCTCTAGTTCCTCGAATAATGGCATGAGTTTACTTTCATATCCCTCGCACGACATGCCAACCAACTTACTAAACTCGTGAATTTTTTGAAGAACACAATTTGAAGGTTGGGGTCCAACTTCGATCGCATTCACCATCATTGCTTCCTCCGCAAGACAACCCTCTAAAGGGTCATACAAATATCCCTCCGCTTCGTCCACTTGTGCAACAACATTGTCGGTCTCCCCCTTCTGGCCTCCTTTTACCCACAACACCAATGCTTTTTCAGTCCCTAATTCTTTTTATTTTAGGGGCTTAAAGTGCATTCTGTTATATGTGTTCCCCACGATAACTGCTCTTTCAGAACTATCGAAGCTGATTCTTCTACCAATACATGTGTCTTCTCTTGCTCAACTGAAAGTAATCTATCTGTAGACGAATTTGTGTCCATCGCATCCAGTGTAACTGACTCCAAGTTCACCAGCTTTAGCTCCCCTTCCTTAGACCAGGGAACCACCCTCCGATTTGCTGCGAACCCTGAAACTTTCTCATCTATACCCAACTTCACCACTTCAACCCCATCCTCATTTTCGGGGTAAACTGCGTCAATCTGTACCTGATACTTACAATTAGGTTTAGTCATACCTTGCTTGTCTTTAATATAGGCTACATTTGGTGATAACTCCTTAGGAACAAAGCTCGCTATATCTTTTTCGTTAGCTAGAGACTCATCCACGCCACCCCAACAATGATGACAATAAAATGTCCTGGGGCTTGACTCAGCCCCACATACCACTAGCCTGATTAAATCATCCAACTCTTNACCTGACTAGATCGTCCAACTCATTCTTCAACACCTGGACTGGGCCCTTATTTCTGCACTGTTCATTATTCCATCACGTGAGCCTTCTGCACGTATCTCCATGGGCTTAGGCACCGCAAGATGATCGTCAGACTCCCTCACATTATACATCCTGTCATTTCGCACTATCCCCCATTGGTCAACTTGTGCCGTGTCTGTATGTTTGCCATAACTTGAGCATAAGTCATCCCTTGTCGATTTCATGCGTCCATCGTTCGACGTTTAGCCTTATCACCAGCAACAAAAGAATCGACAACAGCCATAAACACCTGCGAAAACGATGCACATCCCTCTCCATTCACACCTTCTGGCACCATCAAGGTTCCCTTCCGACGCCTATTTCCATACTGTGCTATCGTCAGTACCTACCACGACTATTCGTACAACGTTGTGCCAAAAAAGCCCGAGATATCTCGTTAAACATGGAGACAAAATCCTCCATCTTACTTGCCACTCTCAATTTATCCACCATATTCACCATCCAAAGAGTACCAAACCTCCCCATATAGATAGTTGTCGACATCCTCGAGCCCCACTCTACTATCCTAACAGTACCGAATTCGTTAACAGACACCTCAAACTCCTTCGTCTCAACTCTTAATCGTCGATTGAATACCAAACCATATGCATATGCCCGCTTTTTCCTTTGATTGTGCATAAACGAAAAATCTGATGGCAAAATAGGCCTACTGAGGACTCCGAGATTGACCTGCTGATTTTTCATATTTTCCGGCGCCAGCGAGTGTGGCCCACGCTCTGACAGTGTCGTTGCTGGATCGGAACGCGTGGTCCTCGCGCTTGTCCCTCCAGCATCGAAATTCTCTACCCAAAGCGCCGATCAGGCGCGTTTGCCGGAAAGATGGCTGGAGCGTGATAAATCTGGGTTTGGGTCCCAGATCGCTCCACTGTAAGTCTTCTACCAAGGCTACCGTCGCTAGAGGTTCCCGCATCAGCTCAGATCGGCTCGCCGTCAGTCGCTGAAACTGTCCGAGAGGCGGTGCTAAGGTTTCCAGCTAAGGCCGACGCCTGTGGGTGTGGGTATTGGCCGAACTGGCCATATATATGTGGCGTGACGCCGGTTAGGAGAGGTTTACTGAGCGACACCTTTTTGCCGTCGCCGATGTCGACAGGAATAGGTGGTTGTTGGGGGTGGCTGGGTAAATGATGGTTGGGTATTTTTGGATATTGAGGGAAAGGGCTCTATCATATATTGTAATTCATTACCCATTATAATTGAAACATCAATACCCATAATTTTGGGGCATAAGAATTTGAGTCTAAGTTTAAGTCAATATATTTTCGAAGACAAGTAGAATATCTTTAAGAAATTATTCTTTGATATCCTCAAATGGAGAGGTTTAAGAACCCAACAAAGTTAAACAAACTAAAACCTATATTTGCATTTCTTCCAGAACTCCTACGAGGAAAACAGCAAAAGTCAAGGTGTAAAGCTGTAAATCTTTGTTATTATTATGCTATAGTCAATAGTCATACCCTAAAAGGCCTACAAGTTCCGCCTTTCCTCACGGCATAAAGATGATGCATCCCATATCTCTACAAACTTTCCTAATCATGTCCTCATCCCTCTGACGTACCCAAACCAAGGGAATGAAAGAGACCTGGTAAATTTGTTTTACATTAACGATGCAAAACACAAGGGAGTGAAAGAGATATCCTCATTCCTCCGCTATACATGTTCTAAATTTGTAACACATTAAGGATGCAAAATAGCGTTGAAAGAAAATAAATAAATATAAGAAAATCATCGAAAGTAAATCATGGTCATTTTTCCTAAAGCAAATGGGTAAACTTGGTAAGTCTTCAATTAGGTTTCCATCACAATCTTGAGCGATTAACTTGAACATGAAACTTTTTAAACCAAACAACTGTATCAAAATCCACCCTCAAATAATGAGTACCACAGAAGCAGAGGCTAAAATAAAAGCCTAATGAAGTATTTGTAATGTATAAACTTCAATTTTTCTGAAGAATGCATAGCTTGACCATCAAATACATTCTGGTCTAGCCTTGAAGTCAAAATCTTGAATTTATTCTTTCTTTTGAGTGGCTTTTTCCTTAGTGTTCTCTTAGACCAAAGAAACGTGAATTTAGTAAGCAAAACCGTAACTTGTTTTCAAGTCCATATATTTGTCTCTCAATTAACTTCTTTAACTTCTGAAGGAAAAATCAAAACCAACATGTACGTCAAGAAAAAGATACAGAAAATGAAGAATTCTACAAGTAGCAGCAAACACACAGTATAATAATAATCATCATGCATATTCAGACTCTAAAGTAACCTAAGTAACCTAGTAGATAGGGATGAAAAATATAAAGTTGGAAGAATTGCAAGCTTATTAGGAGTGAGAGAGAAAGAGAGAATAAACCAGATTCCATAAGACTGACTAGAATCTCTCGTGCTTTCTCTCCATCGACATCCATATGTACCCCTCTGTAGATTTCTTCAATTTTATTTTGACTCTTAAATATTAGCTCCTTCATCTTGCTGGCTTTCAAAATATTCAAGCGAGCAACTTCAGCTTCAGCCTAACGATATGGAAAATGGTGAAAGTAAGAAACTAAAAGATTGGTATTGTGTATAAAAGTATTGTAGATAAGTACTTATCCAAGGAAATAAATAAAAAGTTAACTAATGAAAAAGAATAACCTGCTCAATCACGTTAACTGAAAGGCATTCTTGACTCACAACCTCATCAACAGTGGAAGTGATTAAGCAAGTGACGTGATCAAATCTTTTTTGCTCCTCAATTGGGGTATCCATAAGGTTCCAGAGCTCAATGAGAGTGCTCCCTAGGTCTTTCACCTGGTACAGCATTAACAAATTAAGTAGACCAAGCATAATGATTCGGTAACCAGATTTGTTGATCTTCAATTGTCCAAAGCTTATATGCTACCACCCACTAATGGCAAATGCATAGGAGTCAATGATCAAATCCGATTATATGAAGAAGAATTATGCCATCAATACAGAAGCACGTATGATAATGAACCGGTTCAAAATCCAAACATTTAATGAGTTCTCTATCTCTTTTAATCTTTCTCTTTCCTGAAAAACACCAAATACTAAAACCATTTGCAACCATAATTTCAAATGGTGATCTGAATTGAGAATTAGATTCCTGCTTCCATAACTTCACAAGCAATTGCATCTAAAATGCAAGATTTGGTTAAAGTACCCAAAAAATAAACAAATAAAACATTGATATGCAAATGAATTAATACACTTCCTCTATACAGGATTTGTCCCTATTTCCTTCTCGAAATGACCTCAGATATAGTTCCTTTAGCTAAAATAGTCATTTATTTTCCAGATCAATTAACGAAATTGTTGACCATTAGGTTTACGTGTAAAAATGAAACATTACATACCACAGTTATTTGTTAACTATTGCCTAACACATTTGCCAATAGCGATGGGAGAATTCTAGTTTAGCTGCACAAGACTACATATGAAAGGTTTATGTCACCAACACCAGAAAACTGTGGATGCCTCGCCTAACAGGATACGTAAAATTTGGTACCAGCCAATATGCTAAACCAAGAAAATTCTCTAAATCCATTATGCAAAAATGGTAAAGAAGGAAAACATACAAAACCTTGAGTTCATGACATAGCATATTTGCAATCATGATATTAATGTCAGAAATGACTCTTCAGAAACAATATTGATTCATCTCACAAATGAAACTAGGTAGCATACATCGATGATGAAAAGAGAAAAATCGAAAGTACCTCCATTAACATTAACAAGAATAAAAAGAATGAATTTGGAGCTTGTTCAGGTACAATCATATGTAGAATATAGAGCATACGAATTAGGTATTTAAATCACCAAACTTATAACGGTCACCTATATTAACTTCATTAACAGTTTTCTATGAGATTATAACATGTACAGAACAAGATCAAACACAAGCCTCATTTGTAAGTCTAGTTGAGCAGGAAATTTCAAAGATTAGTAGCTAAGTCATGAAGATTCAATTCATAAGATGCGTGACAGCATAAAAATCATTGAGGGGATGAGTGATAATTGAATCATTTGATTCAAAATATCATCTTCAGGTTTTTTTTTTTTTTTAAATGTATTGTTTGCTTAATGTTAATTAAACATATTCAGGTCTTTGACGTGAGAGAGAGAGAGAGAGAGAGAGAGAGAGAGAGAGAGAGAGAGAGAGAGAGAGAGAGAGGGTTATTAGAATGTTACCATTTCTAGATGACATTGTTTCTTTTGTGTCAGTGAATTGACTTCGTTGGTTAATCTAGCGAGTATCTCATTGCTAATGCACTTTGACTGACCAGTTGGAGAATCAATCAAGCTTGGATGAATTTCAGCCATTATCCTTTTAAAATCAAGTGACATGACAACTGAGAGCTTGTGGATTGCACTAATGTGACTATTAACCTTTTGCAAACGAAAATTCTGCAGATGGAAAAGTTGATCCAAATTATCACATAAAAAACTCAAAATTTTCTTATTCTTAAATTATGTTTGCAAAACATATTTCTAGGCAAACCCTTTCAGACTGAAGCTCCAGAAGCTGTGAGTTCAGCTCTGCTAATTTCTTAGTTGTCAGGTCTAGTTCATCTACTTGAATATCATCAGGATTCGAAGTCTGATCATTGCCTGCTATTTCTGCAAATATCTGAGCAATCTGCGATTGTAGTTTGGAAAGCTCCCTGACCCTTCCATGTTTCAGCATCCTCAAATTCTCCAATGTAGGGTTTATAACACATATTTGATCCTTAAGATTGCCTCCCATCTTCTCATACTAAAACAGAAACAAGATAATTCAATATATAACACCAAGTATATAAACAATGGTTCTAATTCTCAGTCTGTCCAAAATAAACTAAAACTTTTTAACATATCACACCTATTGTCAAAGCAATAGCCAACAGTGATGTATTCAGTTAGAAATAAAAGCCTACAAAGTTTATTGAAGTACACTGAAAATAATCTGACAGAGTATAGCCACAGTTGATTAGAGATGTTGTTTCAACACATAATGATGAAGTGATAGTAAATAGACCTGTGGCAAGGAAATTCTTTCCCCAAGAGAAGAAGCAAGTTCCGCAATCTCAGCTTTAGCCTCAGCCAATGAATGGTGCAAATCTGCCTTGCACCTTTTACTTGTTTCTACCTTTCGACGGTAAATGTCAAGACATTCGTGTTCCAGATGAAGAAGCATTTCGTCCCTTTCCTCATCGCTCTCCCCAATTTCATCCCATATTTCCTATTTCAAAAATATAACAGAATACTATGAGTGTGTTTGGTAGGGATTTTTGGGGGAAGAATTGATTTTTGAATAGTGATATGATAGGAAATGTGTGGTTGAAAAAAAAGGAAAAAGTATTGATGTGATGGAAAATATTATTTTANGGAAAAAGTATTGATGTGATAGAAAATATTATTTTATTGAAGAATGTATGGTTGAAAATGAGAATTGATTTACTGTAGAAAACGAAAATCTGTACCAAACAGGTCCTATAATCCACAACGTGGATGTACATAAATGCTCAACCAAGAAAACAAATTGATTGATACAGAGAGTCAAACATAAAGTAGGAAAGTTTGAACCTTCATGGCAAAACATCTGAAGTGTAAAGTACAATTCTAACTCCCAACATACAATTTTCTGGAAGTTTTACCACTCTAAACTTGATAGCATTTCGACCCAAATCTCCAATGAAACAAAAGACAAAAACAAAGAACGAAACACGACTCCTGAACCGAAAAATGGTCGCTGTAACGGCTATTAAACGGCCGAATTGAGCACCCGAGGCCCAATTATTTCAACAAATGTTCAATTTGAAAAACAGCCGATTAATTAACTAATAAATGAAAAATGGGGACACAATTTTACCTGCAATTCATGAAGGAGAGAAGAGCAAGTGGTGATGGCGGATTTAGAAAACGAAAGCGGTGAAGAAGTAAAATTCGCAGTACCAGTACAAGTAGACATGACGAATGGGGCTATAAACGAGAGAGAAGAAAATGAAACCCTAGAAATCAGTGCGATTTGAGGAACGTATTTTGTTCTTCGTTCCGAATTTCCAATTATGAGCAATTATTGCTGTTAATTCAACGGAAATTTTGGGTGCGTTTGGCGGGAAAGCATAGTTTTGATTTATTTTTTTATTATTGATTTGTTCTATTATTTGATTATTATTCTTTGACAAAATATATAGGGAACGAATGATTTACACTTTTTTAGAATAGATTTTGTGAAAAATAATATGTATTTAGTATCTATGGTTAATAATTATGAAGAAGTAATAGAACAAAGTTTGGTATTTATTTTAATGGGATAATTGCATAAAGAGTATCAAACATTTCATTAAGTAGCAGACTTTGCTCAAACATTTCGTATGTGTCATCCACGGTACCAAATTTTTCAAAATGTGGCAGCTGAAATCCAAATGGATAGTTTCTGTTAGTTTGACCGTTAGTTAACCAAATAATTGATTTTAACAATAATTTTGATTGATTTTAAAAAGATTAAAACGATAATTTTACATTTTTATAATAAAATAACCAAAAATCCAATAATTAAAATTAAAAACACATTCTTCTTCTCTACCCACCCCCACCTTCTTCTTCTCTTCCACCGTCAGCACCGTGTATCAAGGGCAGCAGCTTCAACTAGCCCATTGACCCAACCGTAGCTGCAGTTTGCCCAACTTCGATCGCACATTGTAAATATTTTATTTCAATTGTAAAATAGCTGTGATATTAGAAAACGTTTAGTATGATTCATCGACATTTAAACGTCTACACCTATCACTTAGATTTTTGTTCAGAATGTTATTATATGGGGTATTAGTCTTTCAAACAATCTTTCAAACTTTTTAGTGTTCGTCCCCTACACTAGCAATTGTAATTTCCTACCTTCATCAATTTTAGCTTTCAAGCAATCAATGATCAATTTACTTTCAATGCTTTCAATTTCATGTTGCAAGCTTTCAACAAATTGTAATCAAATTGTCTTCCATCCCGAAATGACTGAGAGAATGCGGAAGGTAGTCTAGTGGATTAGACTACTACCGCACTATGTCCCTTTCTGTCCTAAGAAGAAAGGCACCCTGTGAAAGTTGGTATCAGAGCTGAGGCTCAAGATCCATCTATAAGAAGCTATGGATCCAATTGAATCGAATACCACGAAAGTGGTAGATCCTCAAAAGAGGATTACGAAACAGCACGTGGATGCGCTTAAGATGACAATGCTAGGTTGTGCTATGCCGCAGACAACCTCGAGGAAAAAGTCGAGGTGGCGGAGGCGGAAATTTCGTGAATTACACATCCAGTTGGATGAAAGTCGAATGGCTTGCACAGCAATGAATGAACTTGTTGCTATCCTACACGATCTGCAGGAGGAAATGGAAGCATTGTGAACTTAATTACTAGTTCTCCAATGTGCGGTTGGTAATAGGCATGCCCCCGCACAAGAGCATGTTTATAGGCTCAGAATTTCGGAACTGTGTACCTACGGAGGGGCACGCGATGCAAAAGAAGTCGAGAACTTCTTGTTTGATATGGAACAATACTTTCTTACAGCTTCGATCGAAGATGAAGCAAAAAAGGTTACAACAGCTACCATGTATCTTGGTGGAGTTGCAAAACTATGGTGGCGAACAAAGTATGTTGATAATCAGGCCAACATGGTCCGATTAGATTCATGGGATCTTCTCAAAGAAGCTATCAGATCTCAATTTTTCCTGGAAAATGTGGAATATGAGGCACGACGGGCACTACGAGAACTGAAACATACAAGTTCCATCCGAGAGTATGTGAAAGCCTTTTCAGGACATATGCTGAATATCCGAGATATGTCGGAGAAGGACAAGCTCTTCACTTTCATAGAAGGGTTGAAACCGTGGACACGCACGGAGCTTCAAAGGCAGAGGGTTACTGATTTGAGTGCAGCTATGGGAGCTGCTGAATGTCTAAGTGACTATCATCCAGAATCGAGGAAAGATCGACCTTCGGGAAATAGTCAATCTGTTGGAGGTGGAAACAGACCTTACAGAACTAGCTCGAACCCAAGTGGGGGAGAGCGTTACTCTCAGAACAAGGGAGGAGCCTATCAAGGCACCCGTCAGAGTAACTTCAAAGGGAACTACAACAGTAGCAA